TTACGTATTCTATTTCTGCATTGGTAATTTTATCCATACCCAAAATGTTGTAATTTGTACTTTTACAGGCTGTCTGTCTGTCTGTGTCTATGTCTGGCTGATTACAATAAACCATTTTAAATCTAAGATGATCTTATGTGACGCCATTTAGCCACTTAAAGCCACCACTACATATATTTGACTGTCATGCAGAGAGTTAAGACAGAGTTAGAATTGGCAAGGTGGATAGCAATAACAACTGATGGCTGGACTAGCTAAGCAACAAAATTAAATTGAAATGATGTTCCTTTAATTTGCTTTCATATTTTATTTTATATAATTATTGTATAATATGCAACTGTCTTATTTAGACGCAAATAAATGATACATACAAGTAACAGATAGCTACATCAGCGAAACACCACATGGCCAACTGTTGTATAACACATTATGTCTAGACAAAGGCCATGACTGAAAGTCATACTGGACTCAACCTTGACAAAGTTCTTGATGTCATATTTCAGGACTGGTCACTTCACAAACCCCAGGCAGCAACAACAGATAATGCAGTTAATATGGCAGTCTCAATCAGAGCAGCTAATATATCCCTACATAATGGTTGCTACCAACCTGGCTGATAAAAGTGACATGTTGATATTCCTTAAGAAAAGTGGCTTAGGCTGGGAAACTTTGAAACATAAAGCAAAGATACTATAAGGCATCTTATCCAAAGTAGAGAAATCTGGTTTTAAATTAAAATTTTAAAGTAGGTAAAGTAGTACATAGGTTAGTACAAGTCGAATTAATAAAACAAGGATAGTGGGATAGAAATATAAAACCTAATTCTTTGTGAACTGTCCTTACAATTTTAGTGGAAAATATTATTAATTTACGAGCCCTCTGAGAACTGCAGACAGAACTGAATCATAAACTATAAAACCGCAATCAAACTGTTGGAACTATTTAACCCCTAGTACCAGTGTGCCAAATTTTCACAAATATTATGCTCCACTTACTTTTTTGATGTACCAGTAGAAAAATTGAAGTCGTTGGACCAGTCAATTATTTTTGAGACCAGATGAAATTGATTTTAGTCCAAGAAAAATGCTGACTGTATGAGGTGGAGGTGTTCAAAAAAGCAATATCACCTTTTTGGCTTAAATTTTGCTTCACCTATTTAAATATGCCTCATGTTTCTTCAATGTATCATCTGTATCATTGAATTTTCTATTTTAATGAATATGTTCAATGAGGATGCACAATGAAGAAAATCTTTAATAGCACTAAAAAAAGATATGACCCGTGGGCCTTGGTGATAGGCAGGCTATCAGCCTTGCGTGATGTAATGTGATAAGTAAAACATGTTCTCGAAAAAGTAATCTAAAACATGAATTGAAAGACTTGTACAACATAAATGCAGAACAGGATTCTTCAAATATCCATCCAAATACTGTATGTTCCATTCATTAGGATATATGTATGCGTGCTCACCAAGCTAATCGAGATCACAAACAGTATGTCTCCATACTTCTCTGCAATTCAATTAATTATGAATGAAACAAATTCAGCAAAACCTCTATCTCGATGGGAAGAAAAACTTTTTACACATCTTGCAAAAATAAAACTAGCGCAGGCAGAAGAAAGGGGAAAGGTGAAATGTCAAAACACAAGAGGACAGGTATTAAATCATTACTTAACCTTCTAAGTACTATCAATTAAATTATCATAATTATGTACACATTTTATATCAACTATCATAGATAGGAATAATATAATGATTAGATGTTTTCATTCAAGTCCTCTTCAATTGTCATACAGCTAGTGTTGAATAGCCACTTAATACCTCATTAAATACACATTATGTCAAATGATCCACAGTATACACACATATGCACTTGTTTTATAATCCTTTCAGCCCTTGGTGTTAATGAAAATAGAAGTTCCAAGAATTAAAAGTCAAGATGCTAAATCACCTCTGAAAAGGCACAGGGCAAGATTAATAAATAAAGTGAGGCAAAAAGTTAGCGGTGGAAAAGATAATTCTACTATTCACCAAATGTCAAAAGAGTGGCGTGTTCAGCACCGTAAAAAGAAACCCCGTGAACTTTTGACAACTAGGTGCTAAGCAGGCACTTTCTATGAAGGCAGCGGCAAGACTTACATGGGGTCAAGTAAAAGTTATAACCTGCCATCTCAAATCAACAAACGTAAAAATAGCTAGCTATAATAGCCAACAGGAATCAAAAAAGAATATTCTTTCAAAAATCAAGTTAAAATCAAAACTCAAACTCTTTGCCAAAAAAGATTTGACAGCTCCAGAAAGCAGAGGAGGAATTGTAAGGAAAAAACTTCCTATCTTTCAAACTTACCTATTCATCTGACCATCTTGAAAAAATGGAAAGGTATGGAATGTTAATGTTAGACCACCCTGTCTGTGATACCAAATGATGAGGTCTGGATAAAGTTGGGAGGAGACAAGGGGGGTGGGAGTACTAAAATGACTTTTCAATTTGTCAACACATCCCATCCAAATGCCACTACAAACACATTGTTTTGTGCACCTGATAGCAGGGAAAATCTAGAAGCTGTTCTGAAAAGATATGGGCCTGAAATTCAAAATTTAAAGACAATGAAATACAAGGGTAGACAGATTAGATTGTTCTTGTGTGGGGACTATGAATTTTTAACCAAAACAATGGGCTTATCTGGAGCTGCTGGTGCTTATCCCTGTTTATGGTGCAATGTTGAAAAAGCTGATATTAACATTCCAAGAGTGAAGCGCAATGACAAAAAAAAGAACAATTGATCGAATACAACATTTTTAATGGACGGAAATGGAAATAAGTCAAAAGCCAAAGAATACAGAAATGTCATAGATGAGCCATTATTTGACATAGAACTGACGCATATATGCCCTCCCTATCTTCACTTGCTCCTAGGCATCACCCTTAAGCAACATTTTACTTATGCATTGCAATGACATTGATAAAATTATTGCTGTTAGCATTGCAAAGGATGACATGATGTCAAACAATGGAAGTGAAACCGTTTATGGTAAATATATAAAAGGATACAAAAAAACTATTTGACATGAAGAAAAAATTGAGTAGTATGAAAAATGGATCTTTTAAAAGGGCATACAAGGAAAATATTAAAGAAGAAGAAAGTAAGCTGACACTGAAGCTAGAGTCAGGGCCAGTAGCCGCTGAACTTGACAATATTTTGAAAAAAAAACATGAAATTCACAGATCTTCTTATCATAGCCGCAGCATGAAAGGCAACCACTGCAATAAATATTTTAAAAAAGAAGTATATGAAGACCTAGCCAGATCAGTGATTCAAACCACAGATAAAATGAGCCAATCATTGTCTTGCAGGGAACGAGTTTTGAAAAAAAAGCAGCAAGAATCGAAGAGAAAATTATAAAAATAAATGATGCATTTTCAAAGGTACATACTCTTGTAGGACATGGTAACAAAATTCAGAGAATCATTTCCCAAAGTGAACATTATCCCAAAGGCTCATATATTGGAGGACCATGTAGTGAACTTTATTAGAAAATACAAGTGTGGAATGGCTCTGTTAGGAGAGCAGGGAATAGAAGCGATACATAAAGTCTTCAATGAACTAAATCGTAGAATGCGCTCCGTCAAGCATCCTGTTAACCGACTTAGCTGTACCCTGTCAGAATTCTACCTGAACTGCCAACCTTAAATCATCACCGGTAAACCCATTGTTCGATCCCGTAAAAATAAAAAGTGTCAGCAAAATTGGAATAAATCAAAACAGTCCCCTAATCAACTGATTGTATTTATGAGATGCGTGTATGTGTTATGGGATGTTTGCTTATGTGAAGTATAATATCATAGTAAAATACAAAGGATTCATTTCTCACCAAACACGGTCATACACTATACTAAAAAACTACTAGACTATAGTGCTTCTGCCTTTAACTGATGCATGCAACTTTAGCCCGGGTAAGTGTAGAATACTTTTATTAGCTCACAAAGTGAGCTATTGTAATAATTTAGAATGATTATGGTGATGAGATATATTTCTTAATTCCATTTATTTAACATAGCCAGTGAGAGAAGTGCTTGTGGTCAGATCCTTAGATTTATTGCATAGGCACAAGCTGTGGCTGCATCTATTAGATTCACTGCCTGGCTTATCTTACTAATTACCTTATCAGATGTTTAATGTTAAGTAGCGCCAACTAGTATCTATTTACATAACTAGGATTGAATCTACGTAGCTGGCAGCCAGTGATATCAGATCATTTCACTTGATTTGCAGTCGCGATTCCAATAAAGGATATTTAAAATTAAATTATTTACAATAATGTTTGAATGATTTATCATCTAAATCTATTCCCTTTGTCAATATTGGTGTCTATTGATATGATCATGAAACATTTTCATAGACCCCCTCACTCTCAATCTTAGTCAACTTTATAAGACATCTGATTGGTCAGACTCAGTCATGTGACTCTCTGTGGTGAGATTGATGAATTTGAGAGAGACTGTTTCAATCACTTGGAGTGATTGCCAATAAAAAAGGTACACATTGTCGAGACAGTTAGATTATCACAAAGCAAATTGTCCCCAAACCCATAAGTATCGTTCATTGTCTACTCCCTGAATTTGTGAGGTTATAAAAGCTATCTGAGTCCAAAGGGTAGATTCAAGACCACACAATTCTTGCTAATAGGATCTATACAAAGCCAACATATATGCAACTTATTTTATTATTATTGTTATATGATGTCATATAATATACAGTTAGTGAAATCACAGTGGTGTAAAATGCTCACTCGCTCACCAACAAACATATTTTACTGGATATATGATTACTCAAGTCTCTGCTTATCATTGATGAACACATGGACTCATTGCTGAACTCATAATAATAGTGAAATAAACATTATAAATGTCTACAATTTTAACCAATTGCAATGTGAAATATCTATTTTCAGCCTGGAAGAGGTAACACGACCTAGTAACGTATGGAAAACTAGGATAATGCATACTCCAACTACATCACGAAAGGAGTCAGTCCTATCTACAACGCCCATAGCTGGGCAAAGTACTCAAAATGAGGCACATCTATCTACAACACCTATAGCTGGGCCAAGTACTGTACCAATTAGTGGCCAAATTGATGTAGCAATGTCAACTCCATTGTCTCGTGGGACTAAGGCACGCTTTGTAGTTGAAAGCTCTGATAATACTGATATTACATCGAGGTACATAGCTAATAAAGTAAATTATTAAATCAGATATTCATTCACATCTAAAACCATATGGTTGTAAACTGGCTCTAACATTTCATGTGGATGTTTTACTGTGTACATTATTGCTTATATTAAAAATACTATTTTCATTCAGTTGGTCTTTGGATTATTTCACCAGCTTAGTACTACTCATTAGATAAAGGTTGTCAAAATGACTTTATTGTTATTCTTATTTGCATATTCTTTATTGAACATCTCACAATTTTACTTATAGTTCATCTGCACCTGAAAAACAATGTATCACAAGTGACCTGGAGAAACAGTCATCTGAACATGAAAACCAGAGGGAAAATGCTTTGTAAGTACATTTAATTGTTGTACAATGTTAACTTTATAAACATAGATATATATAACATTACAAGGGGTAGCATTCAGGTTTAAACAATGTAAATAATTCTATGATATACTCTAGTTAAGTGTTTTATATTGATACAACAACATATGTAATATGTACAAAGATTCAATTATCAAATTGACAAGGTGAATTAAATATAAATAGAAAAGAACATTTTTACATTTACAGTGATTTCTACATTGTATACTGTTACCATGTTAGTTTTTCTGTTGATTTTTATCAGTCTGTGTATTTAACAATTTCAGGCTTCGTGGTTATATGAATGCCACTATTCCATATGACTGGACAGGTGATGAAAATGAGGATGATGAAAATGATTCTGATTATGATCCCGGTTATGGGAAAATTCCATTGGTGACTATAGGGTAATTAAATTATACTATTATTACATAGATGATACACCCATCTTCATCAAAACAAATGAAGTTCAAAATGGATATAGTGAAGCCCTGTCTATCGCTCCATCAATACTTTTTTGATCTCTTCCAAGTATGGCTATATTATAAAGTTATACTAAAATTGAAGTAATTAAATTTTAAAGTACATCATAATTATTGTATTTTTTACTGATTTGTGCCTCAAAAAAATAAAAATGTCTGTAGAGAGTAGGAATTCGCAATGACTTGAGAGATCTCATTTTACTAAATATTGCATTGTCTTTACAACATTGCATTTTATTTTGAGTTTGATGAACTCATGCTGAAATATACAATGTCTTAATATTTGATGTTTATTTTCCAGTCCTAAAGATGTGAAGATAGAGAATCTAGAAGACCTTGGTGGAGAAGAAGTAGAACCTGAAGCTGAAGAACAACCAGAGGTTGCATTGAAATTGGGGGAAGATATCCCCCTTCCACCCAATCCACTAAATGGAAATATCCATCCTCCCAATAGACATATAGGAGATGACATTAAACATCATCAAATGGTTTTGGTATCTCTGCAAAGCCAAGTTGATTTGGCAAAATGTAAAATTGCCCTGTGCTCCAAAGATGGATGTGAAGCAGAGGTGACAAGCACATTTGAAAAATGCATTGGTTCTGCACCTTACTTGCAATGGGTAATTTTATAATTGTTATTTTTAGTTAACCAGAAAAGAAGCAATAAGTAGAGAATACAACTATATGAATGAAGTCTCCCTTGGTCTTTGACTGTTATAATTGAACTAATGTTACCCAAGGTCAATGTAGACTTTATGGTTCAAGGTCAATATAGATGTAGTTGTTTGAATACTCTGTTCGACTCAAACATATTTCATTAATTTCAATAATAGTGCTTGTGCATGTGAGTCATAAGAATATTTACAAACTTCTCGTTTTAAAAAAAAAGTTTCACCTCCTGCTCTTTATTATAAAATTATGCTTATAGACAATAAATGAAAGTGCTAAAACATTTATCTGTTGACAGGTGTGTACCAATGGGCACAAGGATTATAGATGGAGCGGCCAACCCTTTGTACGGGGTGTGAGAGCAGGGAATCTGGCGCTCTCATCAGCAATTGTTCTCTCTGGGAACAACGTTTCTAAGATTAAAAAGATGTTCAAATTCATGAATGTACCCTGTGTGGGGAATCCCGCATTCTATGCCTTTCAAAGAATGTACATCTGCCCCTCTGTTAAAACATACTGGGAAACAATCCAAGACGAGGTGCTGGCCAGCTGTGGGGACAAGATGCTCATTCTTTTAGAAGTGTAAAGTCAGTGATAGTATGTTTTTTGTTTTCTTCTTATTATTTGCTCCCTTGGCTTGTAGGATTGTGAGGGATTGATAAATCAGTTGCCAAGTAACTGAACTAGACAACCAACATGTCTGTCTTCTTTAAAAAATTAGTTTAGAAACAGCAAACATCATAGAACAAGATATTTTTCAAAATGTCTGCTTTCTAGCAAATTGTCAGAAAAAAGTACAAAGCTTATGATAGTCTCTTATCAAGTATGAATAAAATTGATATATTACTGTTCCAGTTATAGTAAAACACATAAAATAACATGCAGTAAGAATACAGTCAGCATTTGACTCTAATAGAAACGGGATATGCTGCCTTCTTAAGTGGCATTCAAACTGTTCTTGCTGGTCGCCTCCCACAGCCACTCATTGAACCAGAAAAGCTAAGATGGATATTGGAAGAAGTGGACAGATCTTTATGTGAACAGAGGGATGATTGGGAGATAACTCAAAGATATATCATTCTACTACCGTGATGTCGTTTGTTTCCCTGCTGCAACAAAGGAAGCTTTGTACATTCAGATTCATATCCCAATTCACAAGGCACAAAGTCCCCTGAGTTTATACTCAGTACATACCTTACCAGTGGGACTGCATGGACGTTCAGTTACAAAAGTTATGAAACTACCTGATTATTTTGGTATAAGTGCTATGGCTGACCGATATATTGAAATGTCTTCAACCGAATATTTATCTTGTGTGAATTCACCTAGCTGTTCTGGACTGTTCTGGACCAAAACGATTAGATATGGACACGTGTATTGCGTAAATATATTTTGGGAATCTAGTTGCAGCATCTGAAGCATGTACTATTAACGTAGCCTTGAACTATACAACTGATGAATTAGCTTATGTAGGACAATATGTGATGATATCAAATGGCACTGGAACACTAAAAATGATTTGTAATGGAAGTGATCATCAATTATGTAACAATTTATCTTGCTTTGTGAAAATACCATGTGGATGTGTAGTTATGTCATTAAATCAACAATTATTTGCTGACATATCTACCTGTGAAAAGGTCGCTATTATAGTACCACAAGTACAACCAAATGTACCTTTTCATTTTCGGATGACAAAATTGCACCATATCTCAGAGTTGAAGATTTACATGATCTTGCACCTATGATATTGCCAGATGTACCAAATTTTACAGATCCTAAAACAGGGGACAATCAATTTAGACACCGTTTGTTGGATGTAATTAAAAATCTAAAGGAGAGTAATTTGTGGATTCAAGAACCTTTCTATTCAAACGATTTAAATTCATTGAACTCAACTTGGATTGATTTGGTGCAATTTATTATCCTTGTTGTATTGTTAGTTATATCAGTTGCTCTTTTTGTACTTTATAAAAGGCAGTGTTCCATCATTCTAAAGCTCGGAAAGGTAATAGCCAAGTGTGCAAAGACAAAACAAGTTCAGTTATCAGATAATCCAATGATTGAGATGGCGGAAACCACTCTTTAGACTCGCTTTTTTTAAAATTAAATTATACATTTCAGATGGAAAGGACTTGCCAAATCTGTTTAAAGGAAACGGGACTCTCTGAGATTTTTCATGAATTTTTAAAACTTTTCTATCATATGTCAGATTGTCATGAGAGTTTGCCGAATGGAGATTTAGTGAAAGACTGGCTATTTAACAGAGATTCATCATCATCCCATTCATCATACTCATCTCTGAACTCTCATATTAATCCATCAGACATTATTACAATCGACCAAGCTTCAATTACATCAGACAATTCATCAATTCAGGATTCAGATTTGCGTTGTTCATTCTGCAATATATCGTTTACTGACATTGTCATACAGCGTTTACATATGTCAACTCACGATGATGATGATAGTAAACTTTGTACTCTCTGTAACACTATCTTCCGATTATCACCATTGTAATTCATTTATAGAAACAGAAAATCATGGGCGACAATTAAATACATATGATAAATCCTGATGACAGGACAATTCATGTGGGGCCATTCGTTATTCCTGGAGTCATACACAGTTATCAAGACATTTCTCCTCTTTCTATTGACAATGATCTGTTCGAAATTGAGAATATGTTTGAATATGCAATGTTGTAGAAATGAATGAACAGGAGGAGGATATTTTACAAAAAGCTTTGACTGAAGCTGGTTTGCAAATGGATTGGAATGATTTTTTTTGATACTTTTGATTTTATGGATGAAATGTTTCTGTGGGAAATTGTGAGTTGTGAGTGGGAAGCAGCAATCATTGCGAATTTCGAGCACATGGCCTTGTCAGTCTGCTCTGTCTCGGTGGTTGCTGATGAAACATTTACTTGCTCCACGGCTCCACAGTGTCATTTCTTCCATTCTAAACCTGTGCACAAATGTGTCTATTGTCACATCTTATGTTTTGATGAGGATTTATATTTAGTACATATGTCTCATCATGTAGAAAATAGACGCATTTGTGCTACATGTGGTACAAATTTTGAAACTTACAAACTTTTAGCATTACATCTCATGAAACATTTTTAGGTAGTTGAGAGGTATGAGTGAAAAGAAATCTATGAGTTAGTATAAGCAGTAACATTTTTTTGCTACACTGTTTACTGTATTTGGATTCTTGTTTTCAAAATATTGACAAGTTATGAAATTGGAACAATATTTTCAAAATATTGTTTTTAGTCTTCACTGAGTTTGTTATGTTATTTGTTATTATTTTGAACACTAGATACGCTAGATTCCTTTTCATAGATGTTTTGTCTGTGTTAATGATAAGTTATATTCATAAGCCTGGTTTGGATTATTTGGACACGTGCCTATTTGAATATATTGACATGATAGAAGTGTAAAGATATCTCAGATTGAAGGAGCAAGGCTCTTGTAAATACATTATATATATTGTATCTTTTATAATGCATTATAATTTTGTACCAACAATTTATATTATTACATTATATTCGTAATAGTCTATTATCAGTGATCTCCCAAGCATTAAAATATGTGAACATACAGCTGTAGTGCCCATCTGGGGTCCATTTGCACCCACTGGGGATGGGAAAAATCATGCCAAATGGGCATATTTTTACCAATTTTGGTCAGAATTGTGAAATAAGAATTTTTATACACAGTTAAGAAAAAAATCCTGTGGAGAATACTGATTTTATATATTATATAACTAGGATGATGATAATGAAGATGATAATGACTAAGCAAGGTGATAACAAAATGAAGATGACTGGACAAGTATCAAATTATGAGACACTGTCATAAACATATAATAAATATGAAGTGAAGTTATGCCGACTGATAAGTTCAGCACGACATCTTTCAGTTAAAAATATCATCAAAATGTACGTAGAAGTCATCATCAAAATAACTATAACTGTAAAATACATATTTTCAATTTTATATTATAGTGAGAGTGGTTACAAAGGTGGAATTTCTTATAGAATTATATACTGTAAATATTAATTAGATATGTAAAATTATACATGATCTTATCTAAATATTCATGATATTGGTATTCCTATATCAAAATAAGAATACTATGATCATAATGAAGGTCATGGTCACTCTTATGAAATGGATTGATTATTCAGTTGTTGAATGATGAGATTTGTATATTTTATCTGACGTGATAATACTATGTTAATAATGGACTGATATTAGAGAGATTTCCTCATGAATTTAAAGCATAACTTATGATTATGTGCATAGCTATGAATGCAAAAATATGATCTTATACATACAAAAAGTATATTTCATGAATCAATGGTTTATAACTTATAATCATGGGTGATTTATAAGTATGCTATAAATGCATTCTGAAATCTCTCTAATAATGATATTTTATTATTCTGAAACTTATATATTTTACCTAGCTTATATATTGCTTTTGTACACCATTTGGATGGATCAACAACACTCTGTGCTATATAGTACTGAATGGATGAGTTGTATTTGTTCAGATTTTGAATAATGCTATTTTTGTTCCATATTTTTGTAAATGGACATGCATCTATTATGATTATCTATACTTTAGAATGCTGAGATTGGTCAAGTTGGTAGATAATCATTGGCAGTATAATAATGAGATTTGTTTGGTATTTTGAGTAGAATTACTACTTTACTCAGGGTGTGTTGTTCCTATCAGTATGCGCTTGAATTTTTTGTTGTTGTTGATTCTTTGTCAGCCCGGAGATCTGAGGCTAAGAGGGGGGTAATGTGAGTAATAAAACAACATGAAATCATAACAATCATAAAGTTGATTGTATGTTTGGAATATTTCTAGTGACAAAGTCTAAATCTTTCTCTTTGCCACAGATTAATATAAACAACATTATTATTGAAGACAAGAAACAAGTACCTCGCATGTAAACAAACTACTTTTCCTTATATGAACAAATATGCCAGAATGCGACATGTGTATGCCAAAATATGACACACTTATGCCAAATCATAAAAGTCGTTCAAGTTCTCCTTTCCTTACAATGTGCTTACATACCGTATTCGCTATACTGAGCCAACTTGATTGTGTACTGTCTATTTGTATTATGTACTGTCTATTTAAGAGTAGACTGTAAACAATTATATGATGAATCGTCCTACTCTCTGAGATCGATGATTTAATCATCGATTAATTTGGTTAACTAATTAACAGAATTTATGCAGACTATAAAAAGAAATGTCACATCAAATTATTAAGATTTAAGTTTTAGTTTTGAAGAGCACGCTACCAAGAAAGAAAAGAAGATATTAAAACATTGAATATAAAAATTACTGTAGAAATCAAAGAAGGAAAAAGAATGAATAAAATGAATCAATAAGGAAATAGTGAATTTGTGTTACATTGTGTCATAATAAAAGACTAACATACATTTGGCCCTAAAAGGGCATCAGTACTAATAAAATCCTATTCTATTATCAAGAAAGATATATATTCTCATATTCCCTTACCTGAAAGATGTTGTCGATGAACAAGCTACAGAAGATAATGAATGGAGAGATGCAATTGATGTGGAAGTTGAAAACTCCTTTAAAGCTCGGAATTTCAAAACCAAGCCTGGCTGATGACACTTCCAACCCAAAACCAAGCCTGACTGATGACACTGGAAATCAAACGGGTGAGCCGTATGGTCTACATCCATTCTCATCATACTGGTAGGCCAATTAACCAAAACTTCTAGATCCAGGGATGGTGAATCCAAATTCATTCGATTCCATCAAACAGGTTTGTCTCACATTCTATCTAATCACCATCAAATTTTAAAACAAGGAGTTGATTACAAGGGGAAAGTTGTGGCAGAACAATGACCACAAGAAAAGAAAGCATATCACTGAATATAATCTACAAACAACAACTGAAGAAACTGATCTCAGTCTCAAGCTGCATGGAAAAGACACAAACGAATCAAACATACGAGTTATTTAAAAAGATATTGCCACTGAACAAATAGGCCTCCCTCTCGAAATTCCTGACAAAAATGTTTACATTCAATACAAAATTGATAGATGATATCTTGGAATGACTGCACAGAGGACTGCAATATCCTGACCTTGGTACAGTTTTATGATTTATCATCAGGAGTAAATACATTCAAGGTTATTCAAATGGCATATATTGTATCTGGTTGTGACTTTGTATCCTATTTTGCTGGTCTAAGAAAAACTACTTTTTTCAAGACATTCTTCAGACATGCAGAGTTTGTAACAAGCAGCAGATATCAACCAATCCCCTGGGTCACTTGAAGACAGCAGTTTCAATAAAAAAAACTTGAAGGACATGAAAAAATGAAAATAAAAAACAATGTTACTTAACAAGGGGGTATGGATGTAAGAGTGGATACAAAATATCTGCATATAAGTGCAACAAAGAACAAGATGCAGGAAATGTTTCAACTGTAGAAACCCACCATGTATATAGCTATTTATAATATCATATTTATTCAGTGTGTGCCCCTTTAATATCTATAATCAGTATCTAATCACATCATGTCCCTTTAAAATGATCATTTCATATAAAGACGTAGGCCTGAACCATACTATCAGAGCCAGTATATTTATAGAAGAAACCTATTTATCGTTGTAAAGCGCTGAATTTGCAGTCTCAACTTTGCGTCACTTTCCAAAGTGACATCATTTTCTCAGTCCCTACCTCATAATTCTTGTCCAATAAGCTGCTCTCTCTCTTCCCTTTTTACTACCCTACGTAGCTCTAAAAACCCTGGTAATGATCCATTTTTAGTAACATTACATATATTTCTCCCTACGTAGCCTTCAAGATTGTGTATGTCTATTTTGTTGCTATGTAAACAAGTGTATTTTGCGGACTCTCGCACAGCTGATCCTGGGATCTGATAAACACTCTCGCTGTTGACATTCACACTAAAAGCAAGACAAATACAGAAATCTGCAATTGCAATATATGGACGTTATTTTCGACAATAAGAGGGGAATTGGTGTCTGGGTAAGTTAACTTTTAGTACTGTATAGAAATCTATAAGCTCTTGAACAAACTATTAACAAAGAATGCAAGATATCTGGAGGAATCATTGGTTTCACGAGACAAAAAGGTGCTCTTATTAGATGGCTTGTTACCCGGCATACAACATGAAGAACTAGGACCAAGTCGTAAAGCAAGGGATGGAAAAGATGTAACAAAAGTGAAAGATACCGTAACAGAGTTATTCCAAAACCCATTTGATCTTGAGACAACACCAATAAATCTGGTGAACATTGCCACTGGTCAAATTGCAACACCGGACTTGCTGTTTGGAAAAGGCTAAGAACCGCAAAAGGTTTATACAAGAGAGACTTCTTGAAGACCCAAAAGTTAACATTTCTGGGATGCTGATGCGAAACTCAATGTTAAAACATTTGCTGATATGAAAAAGAACTCAATATGTGTTGAAGGCAAAACTGTAGCTGTAGAATCTGAAGATTTATTTCGAAGACTCTTCCTTGTTTCAAAGGACAGGGACATTGATCTTCAAAACGTTTTGAAATATGAATTGACAGCAATTCCTCCATCCCTCTTTCATGATGATGGAACTATTCGAAAAACAACAAAGGCAAAGTTATCCAAAAAGAGGAAAATACAGAAAAACTATATTCTCTGGAGCCATTGATTGGAGGAGCAACTGCTTACATACTAGATGGGAAGAATACTCAATTTCCTAAGGGATACAATAAAATCAGTCACTGTGCTATTCGACAGATAAGATAATCCCAACACAATTAAGACAGCAGCACACCAGAGACAGTCATCAAGTCAATCTCAGTCAACACATGTAATACATGATGGAAGGAACATTCCAAATTATCGTAGGTATCTGAAAAGTGGAGGAAACAAGTCAGCATTGACAGACTATCTATCTAATAAACTAGTTGCTTCTGCCCCTCCTCACCTAAAGCAAGTTGAAGAGACTGTCCTTGCTGGTGGTTTTAGAGATAAAAATAGAGTATCAGAAATCACAATATTGTAATGAAAATGCAATTTAATTTTGTGTTCTCCCGGGGAGTTACACTGAACGAACTGTGGTTTGTTTATAAAAAATTAGGATTTTGTTCGGATCTTCAATTTCTTGTTCCGTATGTCGGTTTAGTTGTTCCCACTTACTAATTTTTAATATATGTGTGCTCCGATTTATAAATTTAGGAAGATCATAGTGATTAGTCTGTATTCCCCGGAGAATTTCGTGAAACTATTTGGCAATAAATTTCGATTGATAAACCGGATATTAATTTTCTTCCGGAACTATTTTTATGTTCATTTCACGTTATTTCTTGCACATTTCTTCCTTTTTATACAATCGAACACATTTAGTTTTATCTCTTGTATTTTCTTTCTACATTTTGCATACTAGTCACCGTAACCATTGTCTATTTAGTTTATCCGGCGTACTTATTTGCGACTTATTTCCATACGCGCGGTTAAAGGTAGTGAGCTGGGTTATAAAAGAAATCTCTATTGGCAAAAGTGCGCACTCATCGATATTTCAATGGACATACCCTGTACGGCGGCGTGACGATATTTTACATGTTGTAACGTGCTATTTGGATTATAGTCGCATTATTGAATCTTGGATAATTGTCAATGTGTTCAAGTTTGGAGTAGTACTTCCGAGATCTGCGATTTAGTAGCGCTTATTCCGACTGAGTGTGCCAGTGTATTCACGGGTGTCCAGATTTGTTGCGCGATCGGCCACACGGAATAATTTACGTAAGTGCATGTATTTAGTATTTTCCAGTCCCTGACGTAGTGAGTGGTGATTTGGGCCAACTAATTGAGATGTCGATGTAGCCATCTGATTTCCATATTAGAGAGATTATTTTGATATGAACTTTTGATAGATAATGACAATCAATTGGATTTAATTTTGAAGCCTGATAGTAAGAACTTGTCGACTTTTCTTGTAATAAAAACAGGAAAATAAAAGCTCTGTAATTCATGATATATGTTGCAAATATAATTCTAATTGTTATGTGGATTGTGTAATCATATAAGAGTTGCGTTGACGGTGGAGACCCCGCCACCGGGACCTATTGCTCATTAAAAACCCCTGACAAAATTAACATCCAGTGATTAATCCCACATTGTGCGGGCCCCACCTCAAATCCCACAATATATAAGCACAAATGCCAAAGGGAAGGGTGACTAAAAACTATAAAGAAACCCAACAAGAAAAGCAAACTGTAAGTGTAAATCTGTCATAAGAAAAGTAGACCCTATATATCCCCAAACCATAATCTAACGAAGACTTGTGATATCCTTATTCCCCACCTAGCCTCATCATATGACGAAGCTGACACAAGGATTATCCTACACACCATTGATAAGGCAACTGCTTACAAACGAATAATTGTACGATGTGATGGCACCGATGTTCTGGTTTTGCTGTTGTATTACTTCCATAGCCCATACATCAACAGTGATATTGAAATTTACATGCATAGTGGTCGTGGAAATAAAGAACGCTATGTTCCTAGAAGTGACATTGCAAAGACCTTGGGGCATTATTTATGACAATCCCTACCAGCCATACATGCCCTAACAGGATGTGATACAACATGCTTGTTCCACAAAATAGGAAAAAAAACTTACTGGACTATCAGAATTGAGTGACTCAGTTACAGATATTGAAGAGGTTAGTTCGGCCAGAAACTATGTCATGGGATTGTTGGCCGGGGAGCGAGATCCCCTGTTGGCTGGACCACTGAGTCCATTATCAACAGCAGAGGAGGATGCGTTGCTGGAGGGTACCGATGTCCTATTTGAGGACCGGGACGTAGACGAACTGTTACAGTATATTTGAACATTTGAACATACTGATTTATTTACTGTTTATAACACTGAGGATCTGGACATAAAGGAACTGTTACAATATTTGAATATTTGAACATACTGATTTTTTACTTACTGTTTATAATACTGAGATTGGTTTTTGATTTCTGCAATAGAGATATGGTCCTGACCATTTTATACGGAATGTTTTCTGTGTTTGAATTTTTTAATTTGAGAAGACTGCTTTTAACTTGAACTTGATTATAATTGAAAGAAGTAGTATCCCGGTCATAATTTTGAAGACATTTTAACAGACTGCAGATTTCAGCGTTATTGAGATTAATTTCATTCTTATAGATTTAAAGAGATTTAACATTTATGTAAACTATAATCAATATAATCTGAATAGTATTTATTCCCATTGTACGTATATATTTCAGTTGCGACATAAAACGCAAGTATAATAGAATAGTCTGATTTACTATTAGTTGGTGTGGTGATATTTAGAGTACCTAATACCCTATTCTTTTTAGCTTACTGTGTTGTATTCGTGTAGGTTTGTTTATATTTTTACCCTGTAACTTCACTCTTTTGACACTACACCTATCATTCTATCATATTCCTGAAACCTATTCATCACTCACCTTATTAGTAATTTCGTATGAAGGACTAGTCCAATTTCCCTTTGTTCTGGCTCACACTACCTATTTCTTTAATTCACTTCCGTGTTATTGGATAGTATCTTATACAACCAAGACTGGTATAAACTTATAAAGGTTGATGATGATTTCTGCTTGGCATGTGCTTTGTTTATAAGGGCACATGCCAACTTATTGGGGTTAGCACAATGAAAATGAAAGAAACCTTGCAAAGAAGGATTATCATCGCGAGGAAATGCTTGAAATAAGGGAGGATGAAGCGTAAGCAGCACACTCTGCCACACACCTTTGACAAAGTTAAAGCAGCAAGGATCAAATCGAACAGAAGCATTGTAAGCCACATTACCAGAGCAGTCCTCTTCTGTGCAAAGGGACCCAGGAAAAATATAGTGTATATGAAGTGAACCCTGGAAATTTCCTAGCATACTTCAAAAAATGGCTAAGCATGTAGAAGATCTGAATTCCAATGTCGAAGCTCCTTTGACAAAAGCCCGATATAGTGAGCCTAGATCACAAAATGAGATAATTTATGTGATTGCTAGTTTCCCCTACCAGGATCTTAAAAACGAAAAAGGTAGCCCCACTCCTGTTTCTATATCATACTTCAGTGGAATAGGAGCGAATGAATTGGAGACATGGTTAACATTAATATGGCACTATAGGAAGGGCTGATTACTTAATCCATGTTGAAACTATCATTAATCATAAAATTTAGGTTAAATTAAAGTTCATCTTTCAAAGAAATTTCTCATCCAAACAAGCCAAGACATTGATTCTTTTCACGTTAGATTATGGTTTTGGGAAATATAGGGTCTTCTTTTCTTATGACAGATTTAAACTTACAGTTTACTTTTCTCGTTGGGTTTCTTTAAAGTTTTTAGTCACCCTTCCCTTTGGCATTTGTGCTTATATATTCTTACATAAGCACAGATATCACTGCATCTAAAATGTTAGATAAATGCAACCAGCAGTAGATATCAACATAATTAAGCTAATTTCTGATACTTTTAACCAATGCTCCTTGCCGATGGGAGTCATTTGCGAATGTTCAATCTTAGATGTACATGTGCCACTTTTTGTTTTTGAAAAAACGTATTGCTTTGTTGAATGAATAAAACATGCCTAGAAAGCACGCTGGTGAGAAACGAACAATACCTACAATTTGTGAAAGTATTTTACAAGAAAACATTGAAGTTGGAGTATCTTCTAAAAAACTATATGTGACGGATTTGCGAACGTGGTGTATTACAAAGATACTGGAGAACAACAAAGAATTTGTTAAAAAGAGTGTGGACAGTGCAATAAATGCAATCACTTTTTAGAAACTGGTCGTACGGATATCTGGCCGGGAGAAAGCCAAATATTCCAACGGAGGGTCATTCTAAAAGAATGAGCCAAATAGAAAACGATGCTATTTGAACATTCATATGAAAAGCAGCATTGGAGACAATACACATACAATACAGTACACCCGTGGTACCGTCCATCTATTCTTCTGAACAATTAAAAATGAGAAATATGTCAAAAACCATTAAAAATCAAGAAGCAGAATTACTGACAAAGCAAAATGAACTGGATGAAATTAAAAAACAACTTAAGAAAATCAAATCATCAAAACAACTCCAAACACATGTTTCTTCGATGGATTCTTTAGAGAAACGGGCTCTTTATAAACAAATTTCTTTGAATAGAGAGTTGCAGCAAGGACAAGCAGTTTCAGATAACTTAGAAATTGATCTGACATCCCTAAGCAATGTGAAGGGAGGAGATTATATTGGGCATGGATCGTATGGGACTATCAGTTTAGGGAGAACACGGAAAGGGGAACTCTTAGCAAAGAAAACGTTTTTCTTAAAGAAAGAGCGTAATGCAATATCCGACGCAGAAAAGGAGTTGAACGTATTGCGGCAGTTAAATTCAAGCAATGTACAAAGGCTGTTCGGATATAATTTCGGTGGCGATCAGCCAGTATTGCGGATATATTTTGTCGATTTCCATGGAAATTACCAAGTTTATTGCTAATCTGTGGCAGTTTTTTGTGGCATGGGCAATCTTCAAAACCAACAAGTACTGGCTGACATGGGTTAGCAAAGGCAAAACCAACAACATGCTGTTGTAACTTGAGGATAAGCGACAATGTTGTTTCAATTCTAGTTGTATTGAGCAATAGTGCTCTCATGTTTGTATCTGCACATGTGCAGAACTGAGAACTACTTCCTGATAAGAAATATAAGAAATACAAGAAATGTCAATGTAAAAGTTTTTGTGTTGTCTAGCTTTTATTCGATGCATTACTTTAGACAATCCAACAAGTGGCGAAGAGTATGGAATAGAAGCATTTTCTACATGTTAGATACATTATTGTGACTTTATTCTTTTGCATAAGACTGTACTTTGGAAAAAAAACAGCATTGCTTTGATAGGCCAAATCGGATTTTTTGATTCTAAAATTGAAAAGTTTGGACTTTGGAAACAACGGTTTGACCAGTTCTCCATAGCAAACCAATTGTCTGACGATATCAAAAATGCTGCATTCTTGACAATGATGGGGCCCGTGCCTTATGCCGTGTTTGCGGACTTTTGTCATCCAGTCAATCCAGATGTAAGGGATTTGGATGCGCTAAGCACCATTCTGAATGATTACTATGAACTAACCCCTCTGATAATAGCTGAAAGATTTAAGTTTCACGAAGAGTGAATCGGTGAGTGAATTTTCAGTTGTGTTGAGGAATTTATCCAAAACTGGTGAATTTGGTGAAATCTTACAAGAGGTTCTGAGGGACAGCTTTGTTTGTGGCTTACAAAATGAGGCAATTCAGCAAAAGTTGCTAACTGAGGGAGGTTTGACTTTTCATACTGTTTATACTACCGCTATTGGCATGGAAATGGCACAGTGGGACATTAAAACATTTCATGTACCCGCAACTTCAACAGACATTAACGCATTAGACATTATAAAATTAAAGATAAATGACAATAGTAAAAGGACACGGCGATTTGTTGGTTGCTGTGCTAGACCAGAATTCATTGCACGCATTTCGAGTATTTTGTCTAGTGTAATGAAATATTTGGGCGCATTCGTCATAATTATGTACATGTATGCTGAGGGAGTAGATCTAGTCTAGTATTTCGCACACTGTAGCTGCCTATTAATTATGTACTGTACATGTCGCTGTACTCCCTGGTAAGATCTGGCTGCCAACTTTTCCTGGGGAATGCATTTATAACTAGACATGTAAATTGAACAATTTAAGACTCCAGATCTCAAATTTTATATGTTGATGTTTAGGGACAAACAAGCTCTGTTCAAGAAGGAATTTTCAAGGTGGCCACTTACAATCAAAATTTGTTTTGTTCGGTGGGATTTGCTACTCCGTGGAGTTGCTGTTTTTCTAGTTTATTTTCGCGATCTTTACCGAATTCTTTTTAATAACGATACATCTCATTATCATTTCGTTTTACTGTTGCAAATAAGGCATTCTTGGCAACAAAAATTCCCATACATGAAATTCCTGGGGATTTTTGACTTCTTTTATGCATGGGCGCTCTTTGTAATGGATTACAATGGGAATTTCAATTTCAAAAGTGCCCTGGGCGCTTATTACGGCGAATATGTACTTGTTTTATTCAGTTTACGTTTGTGGAATTAGACATGTGCGAACTTACTGCGCAATGAACAGTGAAGTTTAACCTTAATATAGAATTAGTTTTTGTCTAAAGGTTTTAATTTATTGGTGTAATTATTTCTTTCAGACTGACAATAATTCTTATACGAGATGACAATGAAACACCATGCTCGTATAAGATTAAAAGAGAGGTCACAGAGAGAATAAAGATAGGGTTAGAATAAGCTGAGTCATCTAGAATATAGACATTTAGACAATTCTTAAGTAGGTGATCTTCGACTCCATTGGCTTAACATGGGGATATCATAATATCTACTTTTTGAGACTTCAAACCGCTATAACTATCTAACCAGAAGTTGGGTCGAAATTTGGTTTGCCTAGTTGTGACAACACTCGATGGGTGGCGTCATTAAAGTTAGGACTTATTTACGTTTCGTTTTCTCAAAAAGTTCACCACTTAGTAATTACAGAAAGACATTTCACAAAACTGAATTGGAAAAGGTTAATATCGATCTATTTCAGCGTTTTTACAGTTCTTTTCTAGCTGGTCTATAAAAGATTTGCTGGATGAGTGAAGTTACAGCGCCATTCTACACAAAATACATACTTTCTGTAGAATGATTGGTGATTTTCGATGGTAAATCGTGTAAAATCTGAGTAAAGTTTTTAAAAAATTTCTCGGCCAAAACTTTTTCTTTGTATATTATAACACACATATCAAATTTGAGCAAGTTTTACCAAAGATTAAAAAAACTGCCCCTGCACAAAAATCATCCCTCCGATTTAGCGTCTATACTTCACTTTTGTGAGATGAGCGTACAATCTAGGCTAATCTGCCATGGGGAGTTACCCACCTCTCCCCGACTCAAACCCCTGCCCCCCCCCCCTCTTTATGGTCTATTATTATATATACACCATTAGAGAGGGGCCTAGCTTGGGGGTTAAGATCTAAAGCCCCCCTCACATATGAACGAATCCACTAAGCGTAGTCTTGCGAATTTGATTGGAACGTAAATATGCACATCAATAGTACACGCAGGTTGACGTCGGGGGCTTTCGTTCATATGTGAGGATCGAGGCCTTAAGGTCTACATTGAAATCTCATTGAGACCTACAGTATGAATTTCTGAAAATAATGTAAACATATGAATCGGATTTAAGATTTATTTATTAGCCTACTGGCTAGGGGACTGTCCTTCGGGTTATAATTACTTTATGGAACCCCATCCCCGCGCACCTTGAAATGCATGATTAGTTCATGTATAATGTTATTGGTATGGCTTTGTTCAGGTTGAATTAAATATATGTTTATTATATATATCATGTAGTAATTGTGAATTACTGTACTTTCCAGGCAAATGAAGCAGCCAACAAGAAATAGGAACCCCTAACTTACCGTATAAAGATCACAAGGGACTGTCCTTATCAGGTGTTCAATATGTTATACCAGATTTACTACCAATATGTGGGAGACTTTTATAAAGGAAACAGAAAAAAATATAACAATGGAGTTTCATAATGACAAAAAACTGATATTTTGGCTGGATATAATGAACAAGCAAGGCTTCAAAAACAGTTAAAAATGATTGCAAAACGTTCAAAGGCGTCACAAACGATCGCATAAATCCCAGGTTTTACACCCAGATAAAACAAGATGAAACCCAAAGTTCGTCAACAACCAAAAAAACGAAGCTGCACAAAACGTTTATATTGTAGCATTATTTGGATATTGGTCAAAATTGGAATCAGTACAATTCTGATTGAGATGGGAAATAAAAATCGTAAAAGAACAGGTGCAACTAGGAATAGATTTCCAATAGCTGAATGGAAGAATATGAAACCTGGATTGACTTAAATCAAAATAAAATAAATGAACAAAAAATTGTACTGAAAGACATAGAGAATGAAATGAAATTTAAAAAAAGGTTGTGAGTAGTCTGGATGTTGGACATAAACCAGTGAAACCTACAAAAGTAAAGGTATGTGATCATTGTTTGAAGGAATATATTGGGGTCCTCCACGAACCTATTGAATTTCGGCCAAATCAGGCTTTCCATTTGGCCACCAGGGGCCGCTTTGCAAAAACGATGTTACCCATCTTGCTTGTTCATTTTGTTTTATCAATTTCTTTTCATATTTTAATATCAAAATTGATCTCATATTTTCGCATATTAATCCGTGATTGAAAATTGCATAATTTCAGTACAGTATTTTTAAAAACCCAAG